AGAGAAATGTCGTGTTCTGTTGGCCATAACACCATCAAGGCACTGAAGAAGGAGGATACGGACCGCATTGCACATGCCGAAGTGGCCAGTTCAGCATTGCAAAAAAGCACAAGAAAGAAGAGGAGAAGAAAGAAAAAGGGCTGGGAAGAGCAAAGAACAGAGCAAGAAGGTGTCACATATGAGGCTGGTGGATTTTAGCTTGGTTTGGTGAGGTTTTGTTGCTGACATTACAGCTTATGCCTGCATTTTTGTCTGTTTGGACCCCTTTTTTTTCACTGTTTTTAGCCTACTGCGAGTGTGTTTTCTGAAGTTTTCTCTTGGATAAAGTGTCTGGACACCCCCCAAAGTATACATTTTTGGAAAGGTGATGCCCAGGCCTAGGGCACCTGGGTGTTTTCAAGAGCAACACTTTAACTGGAACAATCTTTGCCCTCTCTCAAATGTTGCAACACGGTCGCGTATTATATATGTTGTTTTATAAGGTGTATTGTGCGTCCTTTGTTCCTTTGGATGGACTTCTGCTGACCCAGGTGCCCTTCCCCAGACCTAGATGGTTTGGATCCAACAAATTTGGACCCATCAAATAGTCTTTTCCTGGACATTTTTTAAGAAAATGTGTAGCCCGTCATATCGACAGAAAGTGTACATTCTGATTTACATTTTCCAAGGATCTCGCAAAGCATGACAATATATTTTCTGCTGTTGCAATCACTACCCTTTCATCTGTGTGTGGAGAAAATTTGGAGTGATTTGCTTGTGTGGGACCAAAGTAATGCCTCTTCTTGTGCGGTCGGCCCAGATACAGCCGCGAAAAGAGTACTAGTACCTTTTTAAAACGAGAGAGCTTGGAAGCTCAGGGCCCTACGCTATGGTTTTTTTGCCTTGATGACCTAGACAAAAAAGGCATAGGGATGTTATAAATTCTTATAAGTTTCTACTTTTTGTTTTAGACATAACCTGGGATTCGAACCCGCACTATCGCCCTGCATGCATCCCCCGATACACTTCGCTTACATACTAATTCTTCCAAGTTGCTTCACGTTATGATCTTGTACACTGTATTTGAAAGCCCTATTTGAATATGCATTGTGGCCAGCCGTCTTTGATTGTACGGTACGGTACGGGACAGGTACGGGACAGGTACGGGACAGGTACGGGACAGGTACGGGATAGGTACGGGACAGGTACGGGACAGGTACGGGACAGGTACGGGACAGGTACGGGACAGGTACGGGACAGGTACGGGACAGGTACGGGACAGGTACGGGACAGGTACGGGACAGGTACGGGACAGGTACGGGACAGGTACGGGACAGGTACGGGACAGGTACGGGATAGGTACGGGACAGGTACGGGACAGGTACGGGACAGGTACGGGACAGGTACGGGACAGGTACGGGACAGGTACGGGACAGGTACGGGACAGGTACGGGACAGGTACGGGACAGGTACGGGATAGGTACGGGACAGGTACGGGACAGGTACGGGACAGGTACGGGACAGGTACGGGACAGGTACGGGACAGGTACGGGACAGGTACGGGACAGGTACGGGACAGGTACGGGATAGGTACGGGACAGGTACGGGACAGGTACGGGACAGGTACGGGATAGGTACGGGACAGGTACGGGACAGGTACGGGACAGGTACGGGACAGGTACGGGACAGGTACGGGACAGGTACGGGATAGGTACGGGATAGGTACGGGACAGGTACGGGACAGGTACGGGACAGGTACGGGACAGGTACGGGACAGGTACGGGACAGGTACGGGACAGGTACGGGACAGGTACGGGACAGGTACGGGACAGGTACGGGACAGGTACGGGACAGGTACGGGACAGGTACGGGACAGGTACGGGACAGGTACGGGATAGGTACGGGATAGGTACGGGACAGGTACGGGACAGGTACGGGACAGGTACGGGACAGGTACGGGACAGGTACGGGACAGGTACGGGACAGGTACGGGACAGGTACGGGATAGGTACGGGACAGGTACGGGACAGGTACGGGACAGGTACGGGATAGGTACGGGACAGGTACGGGACAGGTACGGGACAGGTACGGGACAGGTACGGGACAGGTACGGGACAGGTACGGGACAGGTACGGGACAGGTACGGGACAGGTACGGGACAGGTACGGGATAGGTACGGGACAGGTACGGGACAGGTACGGGACAGGTACGGGACAGGTACGGGACAGGTACGGGACAGGTACGGGACAGGTACGGGACAGGTACGGGACAGGTACGGGGGTAATACGACACCGTCTACAACCTTGATGACGGCAAAAAAAGAAAAGGGATGTTATAAATTTTTCAATTCTCCTATTTTTTTCAGGCGTTACCTGGGATTCGAACCCGCACTATCGCCCTACATGCATTCCCCCATACACTTCGCATTCATACTTATTCTTCCAAGTTGCTTCACGTTATGATCTTGCGTTTGAAAGCCCTATTTGAATATTGCGGCCAGCTGTATGCAGCTGGTATGTGGCCAGCCGTGTTTGATGGTATGGTACGGGACAGATACGGGATAGCGCCAGGCGTGACACAAACACACAAACACACAAGCAAACACCAAATTAAAGCTGTGTGGACCCTGGCTAGCGCCAGACGTTACTGAAGTAACGTCTTCTGCATAGCTACGGGAATAATAATTACTGTTCAAGCAGGGGCACACTCATCCCGCATGCTCCTTCTAGTAGCCCATAGGACACACTAGTCATAAGCCGTCCAGCAAGCAATACCCATGGACCGTTATTGCTACCGTTGCTGATGAGTAAGGTCATCATCATTTTTATAAACATAACATTTACATACCACAGAGGCAGTGCGCCGTTAATCTGCAATAGTGCTCAAATGCCCGGAATGGGCAGAGCTTAGTACGCCAGGGGTACACAAAAGGAAGTAAAATAGGGCTGTTTCGTTGTTCCTCAGAGTTTCATGGCGAAAACCAATCATCAGACAATGATGATTCGTTTTTGCCATGAAACTCTGAGTAACAACGAATCGAACCCGCAACCTATCGATTGTAGGCCTTGACGGATTATGCTAGCATAATTTTTCGCATAATCCCTACCAAACTCGAATAATCGCATAATTCGTGGCAAATTGCATACGAATCGCATAAATTGGAATAATCCGACTTTTCGCCTCAAATTCCATACAGTTGTACATGTTTTGCAAGTGCAAGTACAAGTAGATGCACCAGGAAATCGGAGGTTTACGACTCCCTTGATAACATGTCCAGTCCACTACAATCAGTGACCAGGGTGACGGTCGTAGCTAGGTCGGACAGTGCGTTGACCTGTTGCTACTACAGTACAACGCCCTCTACAAAACAATTCCCCTGGTATTTTGCACAGAACCATCATACATTAGCAGCATATGTGAGCATGATGCGGCATAATATGTTAACTTTTAGCATAAAAATAGCATAATTCTGCAATTTTTCAGCAATGCGAAAAGCATAATTTCACGAAAATATTAGCATAATCCGTCAAGGCCTAATCGATTGGAACTCGCTGCACATACCACTGCACCATGATGGGACACACACACACACACGTCACCTTGACCTTTTGACGCCCATCGCCGGAGGCGATGATAGCAATGCTACGGCAGAAGTCATATCAACTTGTGCTGGGATTGCACCATTCAACAGCTTGCAAGGCTGAAGAATTTACCGTCACTATTCAGCCTGGTCTACACCATACAGCTACAGCTACAGTCACTTCAAAGTCGCACACACACACACACACACTCTCACTCAAACACACACACGCGCACATGTACGCATGTACACATTCACACACAACACACACATATACACACACAAACACACACGCGCACACACGCTTGCACACACACGCCCGCCCGCCCGCCCGCCCGCCCGCCCGCCCGCCCGCCCGCCCGCCCGCCCGCCCGCCCGCACGCACGCACGCACGCACGCACGCACACACGCACACACACACACACACACACACACACACACACACACAAGGTAGGAACTAAAAAATTAAAAAAAGTAAAAACCTTTTTAGAATTGCAATCAACAAAACTATTGTCGCCTCGACGCCTATTTACATTAACGTTTTTATTTATTTTTTATTTACGGATTCTCCAGAGGTAGTAAGTGGATACCTATCATGGGAGTCTCACCAAACCAATAAAATAATGAGAATAAAATTATGTATGGAGTGCAAAAAACTCAAAAATCGTAATGATTATCTGCAAGGAGGGGGTTACTGTCACCCAGGGCTGGGTGACAGTAAGCGTAGCCGTTGACGGACAGAAAAGACCTAACGAAAAGAACTACCGGTAACGGAAAGAAGAGATATAAAATCGCAACATGTGTGATTACACTCAAACTATTACAATCTCCTAGAACTCAACGACCGCCGAAACTGATTGGGCAGTACACACAGCTACGGATGGTCGGTAATGGGATGCGTCCTGTATCTCCTTTTGGACCCCTTGCGCCGGTTCTGCCAGTTGTACCTCGGACACCTGGCGGTCCGCGAGGTCCAGTGGATCCTTTAGGTCCAGTTGGTCCTTGCTGTCCTCTCGATCCAGAGGGTCCTCTTTGACCCTTGATTCCAATACCCGGGGATCCATTCGATCCTTTGTGTCCAGCTTGCCCTTTAGGACCGATATTACCCGGGAGTCCTGGCGGGCCTTGCGGACCTGGAGGCAGTCCAGCACGCAGCTCAGAGATCTTTGCACAGAAACACATCAAACAGTCACAGGCTGAACACTCCTTGAAAACATTATCACTCCTGCACGCACCTGGGCTCACCTACAGATTCACCCCCCCCCCCCCCCACACACACACACAAACGCACGTATGCACACATGCACGCATGCACGCACGCCGCCCCCCCCCCCTCCCCCCACACAAACGCACATATGCACACATGCACGCACACACGCACCCCCCCCCCCCCCACCCACACACAGTCATATGCAGAAGCAACCTAAGAACACTTCGGAGATCAGACTGTATGGTAACAGTTCGCTACATTGCCGGTCATGACCTGGAAGTAAAGAAATGTTGACTTATACTAGAGTAAAACATATTATTAAAAAAAAGAAAAAATGAAGAAGGGCATACAGCCATACACACTGTGATGCCAGCAACGGGCATGAAGGTGCAGTCAGCTTACAATAAAGCAAAATAAAGTTCGCACATCCGCTTAACCACCGGCTATACAATTGTGGTGAGAAGCAAAGTGCCAGCTTAGGAAGCTTCGCTTGTACCCGGCCACCACCGTCCGTGCCTGATCACATCAGTACAGGGTGGCAGATGCAGCGCCTAGCGATGAGGGTGATGCGGGCACTGGATGTTGAGCGTACTACAGGATTGCTTAACTTGAAACGGGATATTCAGAACAGGTGGAGGACAGAAAGCCCAGCAATGTAAGAAGCATGTTATCAACCGTCTACTTAACAATCATACGGTGTTGCCAGAATGCTTTTTAACGCATTTTAAAATGTGTCATGATAACGACGGCCAGCGGAAATATCTTTGAGCTGTTCATCGTTATGACTACTGGTCGTGGATAAATTATAGCAATCTACATCTCTGAGTGCATAAATGTTCCACTTCAGTAGAAGTTGGAACCATCATACCGTGCCGCCCCTTATTTACTACGACATAAATAGCTCATTATCCACATGTCCTTTGCGTCTCTGTGTTTTTCACTGTTTTTATTAGACATTATCTTTCTTTACGGAGTTGTTGTTGCTGTTCATTTTGCTACTCTTTCTTTTTCCCTCCCCTTACTTTTATTTATCGCCGTGGTTGGCAATCACCCACTCTCTTCACATTGGCCGGTGTTTCCACCGAGTCTTGAGATGTTGAAATAAATATAATAAAATATATAATATGAGCGAGCAGTTCTCAGCATCTCCATGGACAGAACTTGTGCACAGTCCCACAGTGCAGTCGTACTAAAGAACTGTTGCTATTGCCATGGTACGGTACTACTGTACTGCATCATGTACACTGTACTGCATCATGTACAGTGTTGTACAGTGTACAACACTGTACAACACTGTACAACACCGTACAGTGTTGTACAACAGTGCACACTGTTGTACAGTTGTTGTTGTTGTTGTTGTTGTTGTTGTTGTTGTTGTTGTTGTTGTTGTTGTTGTTGTGTTTATTTTAATTCGCAAACCAAACGGGCAGATCTGCCCAATGAAAAGGTGGCGAATGCAGATAGAAAGCAGTAATAAATGAAATTGTAATACATGTACATGCATTGTAGCAGGGGTGCCGGGGCTTATTCCAGCAATCCTCCTCACACTAAGCGGTACTCTCAACTCGGGGCTAAGCCGCTCCATGCATCCTTGATCTCCTTATGGTATTGGGCGGAATCTGCCGTCACGACCTCGGGGTCCAGGTGGTGGCCGATGTCCAGTGGGTCGCTGAGGTGCAGGTGGTGGCTGATATCCAGGCAATCCTCTCGGTCCGGGCACACCCGTCTGTCCTTTCGGCCCCGAGTGTCCTCTTCCTCCCTTAGGTCCAGTCGCTCCATTGTATCCAGGCAATCCTCTCGGTCCGGGCACACCTGTCTCTCCTTTCGGCCCCGAGTGTCCTCTTCCTCCCTTAGGCCCCGGTCACACCAAAACAAGCCACTTTGGGCTTGTTATCGCTGGCGCTCAGCTGGCTTGCGTGATCCCTGTGACGCGGTCACACCAGACCTTGAGTGCAAAGCTTGAATGGCTTGTTTTTCTTACCCGCCAAATTTTGAATATCTCGAAACACACCAATGTTTGCAAGAAACTGGAGAGTAGAACGTTCGCGATCTAAAACTGTACTTGTTCTAGTGTTCAGTTTTGATGAAGAAGCAAAGGAAGCCCGGATTCTGAATTGCGAAGTCGTGCTCTTTTTATTTGTTCGGTGTGCATGGACGCGATGGTTCAGGTGGTGTTTCCTGATGTCGAGCTTTCTGCCCCGCCGGTTGCCGTTATTGAACTCGGTTGCAATCCACTCTCTTCTTCGTACCCGGCTTTCTTCATGAATTCGGTCGTGAGTGTGGTGCCTTGTCTTGGCCTCAAACCACAGCTCCAACAATCTACGCAGCAGTCTAGAGGCACAGCGGCAGAAATCCATGGTCGTCGGACAAAATCCAAATCAAACTGAATACAGTGTAGTTGGGGTAGACAGACTCACGGTCAAAACCAAAGGCACAGGGATAGCACGGTTCCACGGACACAAGAAAGAACATCAATATCAGTTCATCATGTCAACTAGCTACATGGTGTGCTCCGGAGCTCCAAGCGCACTCAAATTATTTTTTGAATTTCGGCTTTCAGCCGCTTGTACAAGCTGTGGCTGAAACAAGCCGAAAAAAAACGGCTGAGAGTCAGCCACGGCTGAAAGTCGCTTGTAGGACATTTTTCAGCCATTTCCATGGTAATAGTGACGTAAACAAGCGCTTGTTTCGGCTGATCGGCTGAATCGAGCTCGGTGTGACCGCGGCCTAAGGTCCAGTCGCCCCATTGTATCCAGGTGGGCCTCGCTCTCCAACAAATCCTGTAGATCCTCTTTGGCCCTTGGGTCCAGTTTCCCCCTGTGGCCCAGCCGATCCTTTGGAACCAGCTCGTCCGGGAGATCCAGCTTGTCCAGGAGTTCCAGCTTGTCCGGGAGCTCCAGCTTGTCCTTTAGATCCGGCTTGTCCAGGAGATCCAGCTTGTCCAGGAGCTCCAGCTTGTCCAGGAGCTCCAGCTTGTCCAGGAGTTCCAGCTTGTCCAGGAGTGCCAGCTTGTCCTTTTGGACCAGTTTGTCCAGGAGATCCAGTTTGTCCCTTGGGACCAGTACGTCCCGGCGTGCCTGGGGGTCCTGGTGGCCCTTGTGGACCTGGAGGCAGCGCAGCATGCTTCTCTGAGACCTGTACCCCAAAACACGCACACAGTGAAAAGTGATAGGCATTAGACAGGTGAAACTGCACGTTATTTTTGACGGAACACGGAGGTTTCGCTAGTGTTATTTGGCTCGCGCTTTGGAAAATAATACGAGTGGCCTGCAGCTCACGTCGAAATTTGGAGTTTTATGCCAAATTTGACGTGAAATTGCGCGTCACGTCAAAAATAACGTGCAGCTTACCCTCTCTATTCACCCACCGACACCCGTAAACGGAGGTGCGCGCACACACACACGCACACATCCATACATGTACACACACATCCTTCCTTCCTTCGCCCACTGCCACGATTGGCTATGTGTCCCCAAACAGGGCGACTTGAAGGGGTGCTGTCTTCGGGACGCGGCATGAGGCCCTGCGAGTCCGGCGGGACGTGAACGGCTCACACACATACTCACATATGCACGCACCATACACGTGCACACACACACACACAAGTACACACATACACACACGCACGGCACCACACGGCTCTCCTTGTCAGCAGAGAACAAGTCAAGAGAGTTGATGGTATTTGGGACATGCGTGGGGAAAGGTCATCCCACCGGAAAAAGGTTGGTTTCATTCAGGACAAGAAATTCGAAGATTGATCTTGTTACTGCTGCAGGACAGTACAAACTACAGTGAAATTTACGACACGACGACAAGCACCACCGACCAAGCCTCTGCCACTTCACAAAGCCCAGGTACATTAAGGCAGAGTCTTGCAGTATAGCCGAGGCTCCCCGCTCGTGGCGTGGAACTCCTCTAGTGCCGTGTTGCTGGGGTCTGGACCGGACAGTGGTGGTCCGTGATCGAGTGGACATGTATTACTAGCAGTGGAGGATTGAGCACTGAATAATTAGCGTCATGGTGGCATGGAAAGCAGCGGTATACACGTGACGTTGTTATCTGCATCACGGAGTACCGGTATGGACAGTGCTACAGTTGTGTGTTTATCAAGAGTCAGTGAGTGGTGACCTGCAGCTCCTGGATGCATGACGTCACGTGCGCTTAACCGCAAACCAGTCCGGCATTCTCTGCCCATCTCGCCGTATAAGCGGGCCTCCCCGTTCGCTATCCGGAACTTCCCTACTGCCCTGTAGTAGGACTGTCCAGTCTTGATCCGTGATCGGTTGTATACCTCGTTTCAGTTGTCAAGCAAGGGTTGGAGTTGGATGACTCCCCGCCCATGAATGTACCAGCCGTCACCGTCAGGTGTTGCGTGTGCTGATGGATTTGCACAGTGCTAGCGGCCGTCATGAGCTCCCTCGGGAACGGACGCGATATTTTTTATGATAATTTCGTCTCTGGTTGCTGAATGTCTCAGTAGCCGGTCAGTTTTGTGCCCTATTATCGCACTTTCTGACTCTTTATCATCTTGATACAGTCGTGGATAGTTGCTGCATAACTCGTTCTCATGTGTTTTCTTCTCTTTTTACATGTATTACTGGCATTTACTACTGGCTCAATATCCGAGTTATAATTTCCTTTTTTTAACTAGCCAGGTTGTCTACGCTTACTACGACCTATGACCTAATGATTTCTATGCGGTGCACTAGCGAATTTGCTTATGTACACTAGGGTATACAGCATAAGTGGGTGGCTTGGCTTGAGATAGTGCACCGTTGTGCCACGACTTTGTCGAAGCATCTCGACTGATGGTGCACTCCCATAACCCACAGAGATTCTCTCCTCAGATTATGTTGATGCTCATTAATGTTAAGGGGATAGAAAGGGAGAAAAAAACTTTTAAAGAAAAAATAGCATGTCACCTTCATCACTCGAGCCAAGAGACCTTCGCATGAGCCAGAAAGGCTCTAACCACTGAGCTATGGTGAAGTCGTCATCCAAGGTACCTTAAATTAAAAATGAACAGAAGTTGCGACGGACTCGGCCATTTGAAAATAATTTGAAAGTTGAAACTGTCCACCTCTCCAGACTGCTCTCTTGGCCATTTCAAAATGCAGCTATGGCCCTGAATGTTGAGCACCAGCTGATAATCCTGGTGGCCCTCGTGGCCCTTGAGGACCTGGAGGCCCTCGCAGTCCATGTACCCCAGGTCGCCCTGGATATCCCACAGGCCCTCTTTGCGCGTTGTGCCCGGGAAGCCCGTCTGAACCTGGCATCCCTTTTGTCGCCCTTTGGTTCCGTCCTTCCCCGGGCACCATCAAACCCATGTCGACCGGGGATGCCTGGATACCCACGGTCTCCTTTTAGTCCTGCTGGTATGTGGCTACCCAGCTCTGAAATCTGCATGAATGCAAATGAGCAGAGAGTACACTAAGGGGGCGTTCGAATTGTCTTCATCAACTGTTCGAACAATTTTTTTAAAGAGATTAGTTGGAGTGTCCCATTAGAACGGCTTCTATCATTTTAGAGTTTTTCAGTGGAATTGTCATGGCGATGATGACGTGCGATCAGATCGACCATCTCCACGTGCTACGTGGCGTAGCTATTCCAGACTCTTCGGAACTAATCCACCTCTCCCATCGGATGAGCTTGTGGAGGTTCGAGGAGCTTCGTTTTTCTGAAGAGGCCAATAAGGCCACCTCTTCAGAAAAACGAAACTCCTCGAAAAGTCAAAGAGTGACAATTCGAACGCACCCTAAATACTCCATGCCTGTACTGACCTGAATGATAACATTGAATATGGCCAAATTTCCGATTCTGCTGAAACCTGGCCCTGTTTAATTGCTTTTATCCCCGGGTATACCTCATTCACCCACCATGTTCCTGTAGCCATTAAATAATTGACTGACGATAGGAATATTTCAACGGAGAAACCCTTCGGATTCTGTTAACATTCATTAGTGAAAATTGAATGAATACGGTTGAAAGTCTGAAAAAAATTGACCGTCACCACCAGGACTCGAACCAGGGACCCTCGCTTGAGGCCAGCAATGCTCTAACCACTGAGCTACGGGGCAATCGTCATCCAAACAGAAACTGTTCAACGCATACTTCAGAAGTCACGCTGCCTGTGAATCCACACAGGCTATCATGACGCAGCCCTCACTGTAACCCACACATTTCACATACAAACTAGCCGCAATGCATCAATTCATTCATAAGTCTGGTGGAATGGAAAGCGGGAAAAGTCTGAAAAAAATTCACCCTCACCACCAGGACCCCTTAGGCCCTGTAAGTCCAGGGTGTCCAGTTTGACCAGGCCGTCCCGTAGGTCCGACAGGCCCTTGAGGGCCAATAGGCCCGGGCAAACCAGGACCCCCATCTTGACCTTGCAATCCTCGCCACCCTTCTTCGCCCTTTGGCCCCACTTTTCCGGGGGCTCCATCAAGTCCGTTTCGACCCGGGAAACCCCGAATCCCACTGTCTCCCCGTGGTCCTGGTGGTCCCGCTGGAAGATGTACAGCCAGCTCTGAAATCTGTGCCAAGGAAAAGGAGCATGCAGGACATTTTAAAAGAAACTGCTTAAAACCTGGTTTGCTGCACGCTGTATGCAAACACCATCTTTAATGGACTCGGATGGAGAGCCAAGGATTCATTTATTTACCATCTTTATTATCAGTAGTATCATTATTTTTCGAATTGCGATAAGCAAAAAGAGCTGAACGATCATTTCACAACGGCTTTATTGTGTTCAAAACGAGTGGATACGAAGGCAGCGAAGAACAGGGAAGGAGAAACACAAGTTACTGTGATATGGAAGAAATGATGAAAAAGAATACTTCGTACTGGTTTTCGCACAACACACCCCAGGAAGATACGTTGTACTACTGAAAAACATTCACGAAACTGGGTACTAATGAAGAGAAATGAAGTGAGAATACACCCTTGTGAAACTAATAATATCCTAGCATTAAGATGACAACAGGAAAACTGCGAAAGCATCTAAACGAAATATACGTCAAAAAACTACACTGTTTCACAAAATATGACAACATGGCCACCCAGGACCAAACAAACAAAACAAGCTGCTACTAGAACGATTTCAAAACGAATAATCCTATCCTTCTGGAGTCAAGTGAGAATTCAAGTCGGCAGGAAAACCGCAAGCTCCCATGTAGGGAGCAACACACTCTTCCCCTACTATCGCCGAAGTCGCACCAACCTCTCTTTGCTTGTGACTGCAGCTGTTTTTTTTATCATCAGTAGTTTTTGTTCTCACCTCTCATTTTTCGCACTGATACTTGTATCATTTCACCTCACAGCGTTTTGAGTATGTATATTGTTTTACGCATTGAATTATCTTTGCCAGTAAATTCCTGCTGAAGGGATGGCAACGAAAACATTCAAGGAAATCTAACCTGTGCGAATGGCGTGTGTTTTGAATGCGCAACTTGCTTTATTTATTGCGTTGATTATTATTATTTATTCATAGGTTGAAGGAATGGAAAAGGCAAAAATCTGAAGAAAAAATTGACTGCCACCACCATGACTCGAATCAGGGACCTTCTCTTTTAGCCAGTGATGCTCTAACCACTGAGCTATGGTGTAGCTGTCATCCCAGCATAGACCGTTCAAGATTTTCTTCAGACTTCAGACTATTACTCACTGGTACTGTCTATTAATAATATTATTATTATTCACACAAATCTGCCGGATGAGTACGCGTGGCCCATGCAACATGGCAACGCATGAATGCAAACCAGCATACTTGTCCGTTCCCATCTTTATAGGCAGAGGATAGCCCAGGAACGTGTCACCCGGTATGGCTGGATAGGCCATGGTTGGGCCTTACGATATTTCGAAAACGTTGACCCACCAAACTCGTGCGAAATGGGTTTTCTGCCAATACACGTAATGTGAATATCCGGTCAAGCATCTCCCGTTTGACCAGACTGTGTGTGAAGTTCCAGTGCAAAGGTCTCTTATTATCAGTGGGACCATTGTCATTAGGTTTAGGCCTGTTTTGGAACTCCACTCTAAATAAAGCCAAACAACAACACAACAACAAGGTGCTGCACTGGCGTGATGGGTAAGAATTTTCATTCAGACTCCAAAGTCTGCGGCCCACCCGGAGA